TAAAAATAAACAAATGGGTTATACAATTATGGGTATGCCGCTAGGGAAGTCAGAAATGGAGAAGGATTTGGGGGTCATTGTAGACCACAAACTGAAAGGTAGTTTGCAGTGCCAGGCTGCTGTAAACAAATCTAGCAGGGTCTTGTCCTGTATTAAAAAGGGGATGTATTGCAGGGACAAGTCTATAATTTTGCCACTTTATAGATCATTGGTTCGACCTCATCTGGAGTACGCGGTCCAGTTCTGGTCACCAGTACTAAGAAAAGATGTCCTTGAGTTGGAAAAAGTCCAGCGGAGGGCAACCAAACTAATTAGGGGTATGGAGGACCAGAGCTACGAGACAAGGCTACTAAATTTAAACATGTTCACATTGGAGGTGAGGAGATTAAGGGGGGATATGATCTCCATGTACAAAATGTTCAATGGTGGTAGCAACATTAGCGATAAACTGTTTAAAATTAACTCCATTACAAAAACTAGAGGCCACCACCTAAAATTGGTGGAAAAAAAATTCCAGCACAAGGGGCGAAGGGGGTTCTTCACAGTAAGATCAGTTAGGGTCTGGAACTCACTGCCACAGGCGGTGATTTCAGCAAATAATGTGGAATTGTTCAAGAAACTTTTGGACGATTTCTTAAGGGACCGTAATATACAGGGGTACAGGTACTCCTAGAATGAGATCTTAATAGGTTGGACTTGATGGACTAATGTCTTTATTCAACCTCAAATACTATGTAACTATGTAACTATTATTTCTATGCATGCCATATGAATGGGAACACAACCATAAAGTAGGGTTTTCCCAAATATATATATATATATTTGTACTCGGAGTCTACTTACCTGATATTGGAAAGCGCTTGCCCGGCGCCACCTGCTGACAACCCGTACGTCCGCTGTCTATGGAAATGTCTTGGACCTGTGTACTATACAAAATTGACAACAACACAAACATGCGAACCTGAGATATGCCATGGTCCGGGTGGACGGTACGCCAATAAGGGGGCATTCCCTATGCGTGATTTGTGACAACTGGGGGATTGGGAGGGCGGGTCGCGCCGTCGGATCTCTTCGTTCCCCGGAAGCCTGACACGAGCGGCTTAAGAGGACCGACGGGCCGGCGACTCCTCCCACAAATCAGGCTAACAGGTTAGCCTCCCACTTGTACTCGGAGTCTACTTACCTGATACTGGAAAGCGCTTGCCCGGCGCCACCTGCTGACGACCCGTACGTCCGCTGTCTACGGAAATGTCTCTAACCTGTGTACTATACAAAATTGACAACAACACAAACATGCGGACCTGAGATATGCCATGGTCCGGGTGGACGGTACGCCAATAAGGGGGCAAAAACAACCATTTAGAACTGAATTGCTTTTATTTGTATCTACATTTATACAGCCAAACAAGAAAATGCTTTTGCCATCTCTACTTGAGGGTTCGGAACATATCTGACGAAGCATACCGATTTCCACCTGCCTAACTGCTTGATGACGTGGGCAGGAACCCCATGTCGGGAGGCGGCTGAGGCTGCCCTATGCGGAAGGAGTGCCCTGAATAACGTTTGGGATTCTCCCCTAGCTGCCCGAGGAGTACCCTGACGTGTGTGACGAACTGCTGCGAGGAGAGAGGGGCGACTGGGAAAGGCAGCAACGGCCTGTGCGGAGGTGTCGGTGATAGCTTGGCCATGAGACAGTCCAACACCGAGACGGGGCACCATGCGTTGCCAGACGGAAATAACTTGATACGTGTGGGTGCGCCTACCTGATTGGTTTTACACCGCTCGAGGCTCAACATATAGTGGTCCGGGTAACGGCATATTTTCCTCCTACATACTGTAGCGGCTATGGGACTGGAGGACGTAAACTCACCCGGTCTCAGGAAACCATAATAAGCCAAGTAGATGGCAGCTTTTAGAACTAAGCTCTGGGTAACACCGAACGGCCACCATAGCAACAAGCCCCCCAAGACCCAGGCGTGTGCGTCCGACGACGCAGGTCTGGTGAATACAGCAAGTGAATGCATACAACACCATGTACATGTAATAAGGTACCTATCGCAGGGTAGCGGCAAACGACATGCAGTGGCCGCAGAGTGTGCCACACATGCTGGACAGTAGAGGATGAAAGAGACAGGGACAGCAAAGGAGGGGGCTATGCAGGGGAGAGGAGACAGGAAGAAGTCTGCCCTGAACTGAGCCCACACGCCCCCCATATAATACAGCCATCAGTGTGAAGTCAGGGGCAGAGCAGGCAGTTCAGCTGAGGCAGCGAGGCCCCCCGGCAGAAGGCCAGGGGTCAGCAATTATGGAGGGGCACAATGGACGCCACGCTGCTCCCCTGCTGCTCCTGACCCCACTTCCATCCGACCCAACATAGGCACAGTGCTGCTCCCGGGTGCCCGCGGGCAAGGGGCCGACCACCGGTGACGTCACTGTGAGGCGCCGTCAGATCCCTTCGTTCCCCGGATTAAGAAAAAAAATAAATGTTTGTACATTATGTATTAGTTTTAGAAGGTATAGACTTTGTAGTCAAATTAAACAAAAGTGTTATTATAAAAGGAAACCCAGTCTGGGATAAAGGTGGAATATTGCATTAGACAGGATTGATCAATAGTTCTATATGTCTGACATTTTATATCTGTGAATTCATGTTGCAGTCATTTGAAATAATAAATGTTGCAAAAGCACTTAAGTGAATAGCAGCTGGTGCATTATATGCCTCTTATGGAAGAAGGGTTAATATGCGTGTGTGTGTGTGTGCTGGATGGCAAGTTTATTCTCACTCAAACTGGTGATGGGAGCCTCTGTTTTCCCATAAATAGAACTTCCCTTGGGCTGCATGGACTATATAATGTGGATAGCTTAGTACAACTACCAATTGCTGGGGGCTGCTGCTTTCACAGGTACTTTAACTTACTGCGTAACTATATGTCAGAACAATATATATGCATACATTACATTTCCAAGCACTTTGTTGTTGTGAATCTACTGTATTGTGTACAAACGCACAGAGAAAAGGAACATACTTTAAATTGCAGTTTTAAGTTTCATCTTCAAAATAACAGAAGTAGCAGCATTAAAATATTAATTCATTAACATGTAATGTCTTTGTAGGTCACCCGAGATGGATCTAGGAAGGATGGATACTCACAGCCCTGGGTATATAGTGGCACGATCTGTCTACTCTGAACCAAGTTTCCAAGATGAAAATGAAAAGAAGGAAATTGTGAAGAAGACCATAAAGGAACGGCTGCAAAAGAGTTGCAGGTTGTTATTGCTACAATTATTCTGGGCTTTGGATGGGATGCCATGGAATACAATGCTGTTAGTGCTGGAGGGCAATATAATGACTATGCTATGCTAAACTACAGTTTATAGCTAAAGACAAAGGGGCACAATTAACAGTTACAAACTAAGAGTGCTGAAAACAGGTATCTTCAGCTGATGTCTGACTACAAGCTCTATCGCTCTTTCACAGAATTAGGTAGTTACCTATCTTCTAAAGTAAGGAGATACTGGTGATCCAGGTAAAATAGCTCTTATTGTTTCTTTTGTATTTACATAGTTACATGGTGTGTCAGACTGAAAAAAGACACATGCCCACAATACCATATAACATTTCTAGCTTATTGTAGATGTCATTTAGCTCATCAGATTATATACTTTTATTTGTTATTGTATTTTTAAACAACTTTGTTCTAAACTATGATAGCCGGCCAGGCAAATACAATTTCATTTTGGAATTTGAGCGAGAAAAGGAAATGCAAGCTTTTGGATGGTTACTATGGTTTACTTTTTAAGTAGTTAATAATCATAAAAAATAATTGTGTTTTGTTTAATGAAAAAATTATTTGGCACTGTTTATGGACATAGCAAACCTATTGATTGTCTTATGTTTGTTTCTGGCAGCTGTACAACTAAAAGGGCTCTTACGATTGTCAAGTCATTTTTCCCGATCCTGGACTGGCTGCCTCAGTACAGATGGAAGGAATGGTTTGTTAGTGACCTTATTTCTGGAGTCAGCACAGGTCTTGTGGGCACACTGCAAGGTGAGTAATATTTATTTCTGGAATTCTCATTTTTGGGAGACTAAAATGTATTTTTTTAAAGTATGTTTTTAGATGTATATGTCTTTTAATGAGTATTTATGAATTAAAGTTTGAATATTAAATATTATTATGGCTTCTGCTTAGATATTACAGATAATTGAGGGCTATTTTTGGATTTTGTATATTATTGTAAAAAGTTTATGCCTAGCAGAAAACAATCTTTGGATACAGAAAAAAGTAGAGATTTGCTCCCCACCAACCAATGCCCTCAACTTTTTAATCGATTAATCGATGAATTTCGATTAATTATAACGCACATACAGATCCAACTACATTGGCCCTATACACATACAGTACAGCAATGAAGTAATAAAATGAACTAGGATCACACTAATCCAGCACGTTATTATTCTCACGTGCCCCACTCAATATGGCAACCGCTTGAGTGGGTCAACTCAGAATAATAACGTGCTGGATTAATGTGATCCTAGTTCATTTTATTACTTCATTGCTGTGCTGTATGTGTATAGGCCATTGCCTTGGCTGGCGCTCGTGCAGAAAGTTTCAAAAAATGTTTTAATCGATCAAAAAGATTAACGATTAATCGAGAAATTAATCGTTAATTTGCACAGCCCTAGTAAAAACACATTTTTTTTACATTCGTGTTAATTTTTAGTGATACATTATATAAATAAAAAAAAGTATAAATGAATATATTTGCAGAAAAAGCCTACTGATATATTTCTGTCAAAACTGCAAAAGCCTTAGTCAGTCGACTATTAGTAATATGCTGTAGTTTGAGTTCTACCAGTCAATAATTTGGCCTTACTCTTATTTTACCTATCCAAAGCAGCTTTTATTATTGGTCCTCTTGATTTCAAATTCCGGTGTTCATTGGAAATGATAACCTCTTCATTTAGCAAAGATCACTAATCAAGGTATACAACACAGTGACCATTTAGCAATTATCATTGTACTTTATGAAGGGTGAAATCTGTTTGGTTGCTAGAGGATATGGTAACAATAAGCTTTGGTTAGCTCCAACAATCATATAACATGCTGGTAGGTTTATTGGCTTTTGCTGAAGGAACAGGGGCTATCATAAATAGCTCTTAAGAGGTCCTTTTCCGTTACAGTAGAAGTCTTGAAGAGCAGCCCTCAGCATGGGAAAATGTGCTCTCCTGAAGTTAGGTGTTTTTATTTTCTCAGTATGTACATGTTGTTTACAACTTAAGTGAAATGAAATCATATTATGGTCACTGTTACCCAGATGTTCTTTTATATGAACATTTGTAATAAGCTCTGCATTGTTTGAGATTACCAGATCCAGCAGAGCATCATTTCTAGTTGGGGCTTCTACAAACTGTACCATAAAATTGTCATGTAATAAATGTATAAATGTCTGCCCTTTTACTGTTACATCAGTGCCATTATGTCAGTCAATGTCAGGATAGTTAAAATCTCACATTAATACTACTGTCCCCGCCCTTGCAGCCTTTACAGTCCTTATAGGATGTCGTCAACTTACAAGCATATCTGAATGTACTATATGATTGGGCATCTGGACTCTTCACAGTTAGAGCTATGAAATAGTGCAATAGACTCCCCAGGAGGTATTTCTAGCTAGCTCAGTTAACTGTTTAAAAAAAATCTGTATGTAGCTATCCTGATTCGGGCCTCGGCCCGAGTGGTGGGTCTCCCAGTGGGGAGATTGATGGAGAAGCTTTCACTCTACGCCGATGATGCGATACTTTACCTGGGGGACGTGGGGCCTTCCCTGACAGTGGCTTTAAGCATAATAGACACCTTTGGTTCCTTCTCAGGGCTCCGGGTGAACTGGGGGAAATCCTTACTGTTCCCGCTGGGCTCATCCCCCCTTCGGCTTGATCCGGGCTTGCCCCTCACGCAGGTTTTTGAATTTCGATACCTGGGTGAGGTGGTGAACTCGGATCGTGCCCGATTCCTAGAAGATAATTTATATCCCATACTTAGACACCTGAAGGCAAAATGTATGGCATGGAGGACTCTCCCCCTGACACCGGTGGGTAGAATCAACTTATTGAAAATGGTGTTTCTCCCGAAGTTTCTGTACTGTTTCCGTAATACCCCGGTCCAGATTTGCATTTCCTTTTTTCACACACTGGAAGGAATTATCTCCAATTTTGTCTGGGCGGGAAAAACTCCTCGGGTGTCTAGGGGAGTCCTCCGACTCCCTCTGTCTGGGGGGGACTGGGACTGCCATGCTTCAAAACCTACTATTGGGCGTCGGTCCTGGTGACGGTCTGGTGGTGGTTTATAGGGGATCAGGACAACCCGGCAGTAACTCTGGAGGCTGCTCTGATGGGTTCTTATGCAGGGCTGAGAAACTTGGTTTTTAGGGGTCCGGAGGCTGTTGGGACGGTCACGGGGGCCTATGCGTACTGTATTGGCGGTGTGGGACAGGATGAGAAGGGGAAGGGTGCCGGCTGGTGCCATCTCCCCCGATGTCCCGCTGTGGGTCAACCCAAGACTAGAACACCTGCTCTCTGTCCCGGACCCCCAGGTTTGGGCCCACCGTGGGATCACAGTGATTAAGCACATCATGCCGGAGGGCACGTTGTTGAGTTTCGACAGACTTCGGGCCAACTACTCCCTACCCCAGACCATGGGTTTCAGATATATGCAGCTGAAACATGCGTGTAGAGCCCAGTTCCCTGACCCAATGACTATTGCCTCGGACCGTATTGAGCGATTCCTAATGTCGGTCGGAGTTCACAAACCCTTGTCCTCCCTCTACCTGCGGTTGACCTGTACGGAGGGACCCCAGCTGACGACCCTTTATGAGAAATGGAGGGTAGACATCCACAGTCTGACGGAGGATCTTTGGGAGGAATGCGTCCAGGCCTATATATCCACAGTAATTTCCCCCAGGGAACGGTTCATCCAGCTCAAGTTCCTCCATAGAGCCTATTACACCCCTGCTAGACTGGCTAGAATCTACCCCACGGCGGATGCGACGTGTGCTCGTTGCGGGGTAGAGGAGGGTACTTTCTTTCATATGGTATGGTCCTGTAGCAAGCTTCGACCATACTGGAGCTCGGTGGTCTCCATGGTCGGGGCGGTTTCTGGACTGCAGCTGGAGGTGGACCCCTTGCTCTTCTTGCTGGGATGTGGGGAGACCCTTCGGGCCCCTAGGGCCACCAAGCTCCTTCTATTTTATGTAGCTTTCTATGCTCGTAGAGAGATAATCCTGAGATGGAAGCTAACTTCTCCCCCCACGGTGGGACAATGGCTGAGCACTATTGATAGAATGCTCCCACTCTACAGGCTGACATATATGGGACGCAACTGTGAGCGTAAGTTTGATCATATTTGGGAAGACTGGGTGGCGGCCAGGGGACTTACCTTGGATGGCCCGGGTGGAGAGACCTTACTCCCGCCTGAGCCCCCTGAATAGAGGCTCTGGTGTGCACGGGAGGGTCTACTTCCCTCCTCCCTGTCTCCCTTGCCCTCCCACCTAGCTCCCCTTACCCCATCCTGGTATCTCCCTCCTCGGTCCTGCCCCCTCTCCTCCTTCCCCCTCCTTCTTCCCCCTCCTCCTTCCCCCTCCCTCTGAGTGCCTCCCCCAGGAGCCTTCACTTAGTAGTATGGCCAGGTCACCTGAAGAGATCGGCCGTGCTGCAAACACATGAGGCCAATGATCCACACCGACTTAGTTTGGTAGTGTCTGTCTAGTTTGTATATGTAGGATTTTTCTTTTTCTTTTTCTCATTATTGTATTGTCTTGTACTAAATGCTGTTATTCTGTGTCGAGATGATGTTATTTCATTTTCTCTGTATTGTATGTGTCATGTTATATGTATTAAAACCAATAAATACATACCTGTTAAAAAAAAAAATCAAAAAAAATCTGTATGTATTCCTAAATGCACAGAATATTACTGGTTCTAGTTCTTATAGGTATATTAAGCATCAGAGATTGTTGATCCAGGGAATATCCGATTCAGGGATCAGGAAGGATTTCCCCCCGTTGAAGAAAATTGAACTATGCTCAATAGGGTTTTTTTTTTTGCCTTCCTTTGGATCAACAGTGGGTAACTGTGGGCATAGCGTTCTGTTTAGGTTTTTCTTCTTTTTTTTAATCTTCTCTTATTATCTACTGTATATGATAAGAAAAATAGACATCTTATAGCAACAAGCTGATTAATAAAATATGTTTTCAGGTCTGGCTTTCGCATTACTTGCTTCTGTTCCCGTCGGCTATGGTCTCTACTCATCTTTCTTCCCCATTCTCACATACTTTTTCTTGGGAACATCAAAACATATCTCAGTTGGTAAGTTGTATTGATTTCTGCATACACTCGGTTTACTATACTATGCTATTACACTAATTGGGACACTGACAGGGTTGGCAGACCCATGTTAATTGTAGTAAGCTCCTGCATATTCAAATGCTATTTTCTTAGGGACAGACTTGCTTTAAAATCATATTACATGTTTTATTATGCTAATTGTACAGGGGCAAATCTTTTCTACAGGGAAGATGGACATTTGTACTGTTGTGAAGTTTCTAATTAAAGATAGCTATATAACCATAAAAGTGGACCTTTACCCCCTTTTACGAAAATTCATAGCAGCATGCAGCTATACATGCTGATATGAAATCATTTTACATTCATTGGTTAAACAAATTTTTTTTTGCTTTTACTTACAATTACTATTTTTCTACTTTGTGGTCCTCTTAGGCAGTAGTGATATAGCCCGTTCCAAAGAGAGGCATCCTGGGAAGGTTACATCACAGAGCATTGCTGGGAAATCTCATATGTAAACTGCATAATCTCACAAGATCTCAGGGAAAGGCATTTTCCTCCCCTGAGATGATGTGCATGCTCACATGGCCTAGTCACACGTGCCAGAGTTCCAGGAAGTAAAGTGAGTTGGATTAATCTGCCCTTAGTAAAAATGGCCACTGTGAGAAGAAAAATAAGGTATGCAAAGAATAAGTTGCATCTTATACAGAAGTATCTGTTCGTACATTTCCATTACTAAGCATTTTCAAAGCTGTCTTTGTTGTCAATTTAAAGATAAGGGTAAAGTTCCTCTTTAAGATCATGATTGTGTTTATTTACTAAAGGAATAGAACATGTTCAGTTTGAAAAGTGAACTTAGCTTAGTAAACAGTAAAAGTAAAAATTCACTAGGCAAAGATTACCCAGTCATGAGCAAGGAAAAAAAAAAAAAAAACAGTAATTTTGCTTTCACATAATAGTATGATTGAATCAGCATAGCTTCACTTCATTCCCTAAGCTAAGTGATTTTTTTCTTAGAAAGTGAATTTTCACTTATCCTAGTGAATGGGATAAGGATGTGTTGACTTGAATCATCCAATCATGTGCAAGCAAAAATCCAGTTTTTATTTTGTACAGTCTCCTTGACCATGTTTGGGTGTTTTTGCATTCTCTGTATTGTATGTGTCATGTTATATGTATTAAAACCAATAAATACATACCTGTTAAAAAAAAAAATCAAAAAAAATCTGTATGTATTCCTAAATGCACAGAATATTACTGGTTCTAGTTCTTATAGGTATATTAAGCATCAGAGATTGTTGATCCAGGGAATATCCGATTCAGGGATCAGGAAGGATTTCCCCCCGTTGAAGAAAATTGAACTATGCTCAATAGGGTTTTTTTTTTTGCCTTCCTTTGGATCAACAGTGGGTAACTGTGGGCATAGCGTTCTGTTTAGGTTTTTCTTCTTTTTTTTAATCTTCTCTTATTATCTACTGTATATGATAAGAAAAATAGACATCTTATAGCAACAAGCTGATTAATAAAATATGTTTTCAGGTCTGGCTTTCGCATTACTTGCTTCTGTTCCCGTCGGCTATGGTCTCTACTCATCTTTCTTCCCCATTCTCACATACTTTTTCTTGGGAACATCAAAACATATCTCAGTTGGTAAGTTGTATTGATTTCTGCATACACTCGGTTTACTATACTATGCTATTACACTAATTGGGACACTGACAGGGTTGGCAGACCCATGTTAATTGTAGTAAGCTCCTGCATATTCAAATGCTATTTTCTTAGGGACAGACTTGCTTTAAAATCATATTACATGTTTTATTATGCTAATTGTACAGGGGCAAATCTTTTCTACAGGGAAGATGGACATTTGTACTGTTGTGAAGTTTCTAATTAAAGATAGCTATATAACCATAAAAGTGGACCTTTACCCCCTTTTACGAAAATTCATAGCAGCATGCAGCTATACATGCTGATATGAAATCATTTTACATTCATTGGTTAAACAAATTTTTTTTTGCTTTTACTTACAATTACTATTTTTCTACTTTGTGGTCCTCTTAGGCAGTAGTGATATAGCCCGTTCCAAAGAGAGGCATCCTGGGAAGGTTACATCACAGAGCATTGCTGGGAAATCTCATATGTAAACTGCATAATCTCACAAGATCTCAGGGAAAGGCATTTTCCTCCCCTGAGATGATGTGCATGCTCACATGGCCTAGTCACACGTGCCAGAGTTCCAGGAAGTAAAGTGAGTTGGATTAATCTGCCCTTAGTAAAAATGGCCACTGTGAGAAGAAAAATAAGGTATGCAAAGAATAAGTTGCATCTTATACAGAAGTATCTGTTCGTACATTTCCATTACTAAGCATTTTCAAAGCTGTCTTTGTTGTCAATTTAAAGATAAGGGTAAAGTTCCTCTTTAAGATCATGATTGTGTTTATTTACTAAAGGAATAGAACATGTTCAGTTTGAAAAGTGAACTTAGCTTAGTAAACAGTAAAAGTAAAAATTCACTAGGCAAAGATTACCCAGTCATGAGCAAGGAAAAAAAAAAAAAAAACAGTAATTTTGCTTTCACATAATAGTATGATTGAATCAGCATAGCTTCACTTCATTCCCTAAGCTAAGTGATTTTTTTCTTAGAAAGTGAATTTTCACTTATCCTAGTGAATGGGATAAGGATGTGTTGACTTGAATCATCCAATCATGTGCAAGCAAAAATCCAGTTTTTATTTTGTACAGTCTCCTTGACCATGTTTGGGTGTTTTTGCAAAGTGTATTTTCACTTAGCTTCACCTCATTCATGAACATGCTTTACTCCTTAATTAACCCGTTTATGTTACTTAATCTGTGTCTGCATGTGTCAACAGGACCATTTCCTGTAGTCAGCTTGATGGTGGGATCAGTTGTTCTTTCTATGGCTCCTGATGAAAAATTTCTAATCCCAAGTAACACAACTGGACTAAACAAGACTGTGATAGACATAGTAGCCAGAGATGCAGCCAGAGTTGTTGTCTCAGGAACTCTGAGTTTCCTAATTGGAATCCTTCAGGTAATACATCTTGGTCAGCAATGCTTTTCTAGGTATGTGGGTCATGCCACACAAAGAACATTTTAATCAAATATTTCTTGTTCCTCCGTAAATTATACCTGTGTAGAACACAATGTTCCTTATTTACTAATCCTATGACATATTTTATAGCTACAATCTTCACAGTGGCAATTTTTTAATTACACCAGGGGGATAGCTTTTGTAGAGGTAGGCCAATAAGGAGGGAATTGCAGTAGTCAAGAGGAGAGATAACAAGTGAGTGGATGAGTAGAGTTGTGGTTTCATTGGTTAGGAAAAAGCATATTTTGCCGATGTTATGAAGGTGAGGGTGGGAGTGATTGGATGTGGGCAGAAAGATGGGTTTAGAGTTCAGGATCAGACCTAGTACCTTAGCATGGACGGACAACAGCTCCATTTTCTATCCCTCAGTGTATAAACCATAGGGGAACATTTGTTTATGTTTCTGTGTTTTTGTGCCCTTCAGGAATCTTACATTATAATATAGCTGAACATTATGTTTCTTTGCAGCTTGCCTTTGGAATCTTTCAGGTTGGCTTCATTGTCAGGTACCTGGCTGACCCTTTAGTAGGTGGTTTCACCACAGCAGCAGCTTTTCAAGTGTTTGTCTCCCAAGTCAAAATAGTGCTCAATGTACCTACCAAGAACTACAATGGAGTACTCTCTATAATATATGTAAGTTTATGATAGCTTCTGAACATTGAATAAAAATGCAGTATAACAATAACATACAAGCAATATACAAATGTTTAGCCATAATATCTGACTGAATATGACATTATGGAGCCATATGGTGCTTGTGTGCTGCTGGGGAGCAGAGCAGTTATATCACCAGTTTCTCATGGTAAACAGCTAGCTTCTTTACTTCTCAAACAGATTAGACAATAAAAGATGCAAACTAATTATTAGGTACAGCATGCACAGGAGCATCATCATTATTACAGTTCCTGTCATACAGAAATTGGCAGAGGATTGTTTGCATACATTTAACAGGGAGCATTACCTGAAGTCTCCCTACTTTTGAGTGAAGTCTCACTTGTGGAACTGTACATGCTGACCAGAACAGAAGCCTCAATGCTGAGGAGGCCCAGAGGTTACAACAATGTTATCTATGGGCTTGTTTACTGCTTCTGTAAAGACAATTTGATACTTTAAAAACCCAGTGTGTGTACTATGCACTTTCAAGCAAAAACAGCATTAGCCCCTCTTTCCCTTTGAAAAGGATATTTTAATAAGACTGCACATAATTTTGTGTGACCACAGGTAGTGTTTGTTGGAAAAAGTGTATTATGTTGGTGACCCATAAATGTTGGGAACTGATTCCTTTTGGGAATTACGAAGAACACTGGCTAGTTGTTTTCTTGAAACATAACTTGGGCATTTAAATCAAAGAAATTGAAACATGCATGGCATTATTTCATGAGAATGGGAGCCAAAGCAGGGATATTGTCCATAGCAACTAGTCATATTCCCATAGTCAAACCTTTCAAACTGAACATACAAAGCACGGAAGCAGATCCGTGCTTGTGTGGTCAGTATGTGTGACAGTGCTTACAGTTCAGGATGTCTATTCAACCACCATACCACATTCTCAGCTATGGCCATTCACTGACAACCGTTCCAGCCAAAGCCTTACTGTAATTTTATTTATTGTTGGTATTTATACGGTGCCAACAATTTACATAGTGCTTTACATATTGCACATTCACATCAGTTCCTGCCCTCGAGGAGCATATTATCTAAGGTTCCTATTTGACATACATACAGGGCCAATTTATACAGGAGCCAGTTAACTTTCCAGCATGTCTTTGCAGTGTGGGAGTAAACCAGAGTACTTGGAGGAAACCCACGCAACATGCAAACTCCTTGCAGATAGTGTCCTGACCAGGATAAAAACTGGGGACCCCCAGTGCTGCAAGGCAGAAGTGCTAACCACTGTGCTGCCCTATACTGAAGCTTGTAAGAGCATGGAGCACAGAAGACACATCCTTTTGGAGTTTACAGTTTGTATTATGTGTAAAGGTAGAGCTAATGTTTACTGGTTATGTTACAATGGGTGACAGGGAGGGGGAGAGCTGTTTAAAGCCTAATTACCATCTGACCCTGCTGTCTGACTGAATTTTCTGTGGAAACAATTTTGAATTTTTAGGCTTCAGGCCTAATAAAACCTTCATAAAAAAGTGAAGAAAGCCTGCAATGTGAGACATAAAAATGTGCACATGTGTACATCATCACTGCATCTCTTCATTACCACAATAAATGCTAGTCACTTGCAAAGGTGGAAATGGTAACTTTAACTGCCGTAAGTAGACTGCGTCAAATTTGGATTGGAAATACAATTGTGCACATATGGAGGGATGCTGTCTGTATCCCCTCACAGACCTTGCTTTTGGCTGTAGCCAAGCAGCTGAAATTCAAAAATGATATATTGCAGAAATACACTTGACATGAGAACCACAAGTTGTGACCACTACGGGATGGGATAATAGTCAAACCATCCCGTTATGTTCACCCAGTGATGTTTTTTGTGATGGAAAGTGATGTTCTTGCAATAGAGAGGGTGAGCATGCAACATGGACAGAAATGGTTGCACCATCGTGCTGCTATTTTGGAAAGCTCACAACACTAAGGGACAACATGTTTTTGTAAGAAGAGAGAGGCGATCTTAGGCAAACATTTTTTTTAATGTTGCGTTTACTTTATGTGCTGTAATAATTTGTTGACCCTAGGCACAATGCTTATGGGTGCTAATGGCAAATTAAGCCTTCATATTATACACTCATAATGTAATGAACGATATTATTGACTAGGAATATTGAATGAAGCCATTTTGAGTTTTGTGATTTTTGTATATTTATTTTTCTACAGACAATTATAGATATATTTAGAAATATTGGACAAACCAACATTGCTGATATGATAGCTGGGCTCCTGACTTTATTTGTGTGTGTGGTGGTTAAAGAAATAAACGATCGCTACAAACACATACTTCGTGTACCTATCCCTATAGAAGTATTGGTGGTATGTATTTCTGCTTTTGACAATATTGTAAGTCGTTAAAAAAATTACCTCATGTACCTGATCCTTCAATTCTATCTTCAAATACAGACCATAGTGGCTACGGGGATTTCATATGGAGTTAACCTGGCACAGAAATACAATGCAGGCATTGTGAAAACAATTCCTAGTGGGTAAGCACAGTCATTATTTATATGTTTTATGAGATTTTCAGTTGTAAGTGTTAAGGGCTTGTTTTAGAGCTCAGGTTATATTTTAAGGTTGGGGGCGGGTAAATTATTTAGAGCTTATTTTAAGGGTTAAGTGTTGGGGGGAGTTAAGGGCTTGTTTTAGGGGTTAGGTTAAGTGTTAATGGGTCAAGGATTTCGGTGTTGGGGGAGGGTTAAAGGAAGGTTAAGTGTTAGCTTTTGAGGGGTTAGAAGTTTTGAAGGATTGCTTTAGAGAAAAAATATATGTAATAATATGTGAACAAATATATTATTCCACAGTTCTGGTCCTGGTAAATTAAAATATTCCATTCCTGTAGTGATCCATCTAGGATATAGATATATATTTTGTTTTATCGTATTTCAAGGGATGTATTCTAATTAACACCTGAATGAGAAATGCTGCTTGTAAAGTCCTATTTGTTTTCTACTTTGGTGAAGAATAAAAAGTAGAACAAATATTTTTTCCCGGAACATCCATCGGGACAAAGACACCACACCCCTAAAGTCAATATATATGCCAACAAAAAATTTGATGGGGGTTTTAAGGTGTCTAATAGGGAATGTGAGGCAACATAGCTAAACATATTATCACAATGTAGTGGTTATTCATTTTTATAAAATATTTTTTATTTCATGATCAAAATATAATTAAAAACATGTCTATTCAATCTAAAAATTACAGAGATAGACAGATTGAAAAGTAAGACCTCCCTGGACTCGGTGCAGATACATAGTATGCATAATCTCAATATAATCCATAATTTATATCATACATTTCATAGAGCAATGTCTTGAAATAATTTCAAAAAATCGTCATATTAATCATTAAGTCATCTGTGACTGCACTCATTCCAGCCTTCTATGCCAAAGCTTCATCAGGAAGTTTTTTGTAGGTAGCCATCTTTTAAATTTTAGTAATAGATGAGTCTGCACCTCTGGAACAACTCTAATAATAAAGATATAAATAATTCTTGTTTCACATTTACAAATGTCTACATTTAACATATATAACCCAAATACATACATGCATACATACCATCTTTGAAATTTAAGTAATAGATGAGTCCGCACCTCTAGAAGACTCTAACCGGCCAGGAAAGAGAGAGGATGGAGAGAGCACGTCGTCGGCAGAACAGAGGCTACAAAGCAACAAAATGTGACTATTTTAAAGAGGGGGGGATTCTTTTCTATACCCATTGTACAGTATAAGTAAGAGTGGGATCATACCCATAGATCAGGGGAAGAACCTCAAAATATTCCATCCATATTTATTTAGAACGTTATCAAGATTTTGAAACAAAACGTCTCAAATGTATCCAAAAGATACAGAATAAGAATTGCATTTTTATTTTAATAATTTGGATAAATAGAATTATTAAATAAGGTATCAGACAAAGCACAATTTTAGATCATGACATTTTAAAGGTAACATTCATCCTCAATGTCTCTTTTTTCTTTAGTTTTATCCCCCCCATGAATCCAGATGTAAGCATGTTTCCTGAAATGATTAGCTCAGCATTTTCTATTGGTATAGTGGCCTATGCTGTGGCTGTATCTGTGGGCAAGGTGTATGCCACCAAATACAACTATGCAATCGATGGCAATCAGGTAAGCAGGTTGTTTGCACTGTTGTAATTACTCCACTTGTAGCAACCTTTTTTTTTAAATATTTGTTCAGCATAAAAATTTACGGCATTAGTTAAATAGATCATTTCAGGTGTACTATAAGTACTGTTATTAGCATAGCTAAAATGCATGGAACAATGGGTTCTCTCCAAAATATGTGGATTACTTTGAATGCCCTTCATCTGACTTATTGCAATGTGTAGTATTTATCTGCTTTTTTGAAGCTTACACCACGGTTTTCAGTTTAAAAAAAATCTACAGCAGGGGTATAGAATTAAAATTGAAGTGGGTAATTTGTGTTTTATATATAAGAGAGTGAAGGATCTCTCCCTCACTGCTTGCACCCAATTGTGGATGGTTGGTGAGTGCTGCCTTATCTGTAAATTATATATATATATATTTTATTTTTTTATTTTGTGTGATGTCTTTGGGACAGTCACATGAAGCTATGGGTCCTCATCCTCTTTAGCCTTCTCACAGGGGTAACTGGATCTGGATGATGAAAAATTAAGCACTCTTTGACATCAGCACAGCTCCCTGCATTGATACACTGAGAGTACAGGTTACCATTGTGTCGCCTCCTCAGGGGGCAGAGCCTTGACGCCTTGCATTCTCAGTCTGTCCTCAGTCTCCTAGGTTCAGTGCTGGGCGTGATTCAACCCAGAAGACAGAGGACATCTTGTGGCTCAGAACAAGCACTGTGGGGGTTTAGCTCCAGATTGAAGGTGAATATTGAAACCAAAGATATTATTTTTTTTACCTCCAGGAGGATATCACCTATGGTATATACAACCACTTCACAAATATGTTCTTATCTTCACAAATACAAGAACATCCCTTTGGATGGTATTTATTTATAGCTGTAACCACCAAAGCCAGACATTTTTGGAGTTTTACAAAGCATAAACAATTATACAGATTATACTATTTAGTGTATATTGCAACATTTGCTCTAGTAGCAACAATAAGTAAAAATTAAACTATACCTGAAAGCCAAAACTCTTTTTTAGTTTTAGTCAGAGTAGTGAATGATTAAAGCCCCAGCCAGTTATTTTATTCTTTATTTTTTTGGGGCTGCCTGTGTCCCATTTGGCGAGATTCTCCTTCATTGTTGGATGCCTGTGTTCCATTTGGCGAGATCCTCCTTCATTGTTTGTCTCAAGACATAGCAGGAAGTGAGAGTTGATCTCTCCAAAGAAGGTGAATTATTTATAAGACAGTCGTCACTAAAACAAGTGTCCTCATTAGAAGGTTCCCTCTCCATTCCTGTTCCAGTAATAACTCAAAATTTTGGAATTTCCCTCACATTCATTTCCGATGACTAAAGCTACAAGGACAAACAGAGCATTTAATCTGTGTTTGTCCTGGAACAGGAACACAGACAGCAGACAGGTTGCTGTCTGCTGTCTAGCTGGTTGCAGGTTGCTGTCTGCTGTCTGTAGAAAAAAGAAAACAGTTTAAGTAAAAAACTAATAATCTCCCAATGGCTTTCTTCTGTTATAGCACTGACTTTTTTTAAAAAATAGCTCTATTATTTCATCTTGCTTACAGGAGTTCATTGCATTTGGGATCAGCAACTTGTTCTGTGGGGCTTTCTCTTGCTTTTGTGCCACTACTGCTTTGTCACGTACAGCTGTCCAGGAAAGTACGGGTGGAAAAACTCAGGTGAGTGACAAACACATACCAAAGCTGTGTATAAAGGAAAGCTGCTGGACACATAGAGGATGTTCAGTGTTTACTACAAGAATTCTAATATATATTTCACAGTTTAGACATCTGTATAGTACTATTTATTCCTAGACTTTAAAAACTTGCAAAGATGTTTGAATGAATCTAATCTGATTGTTTTATGGCTGTTTACTTTCCAAGCTAACTGTTGCTGGTAAGTTACAATATGTGCAAACTTGTGTTTATGGTGAAATCAATACATTAAATAAAATCTGTATTTTCCAGATTGCTGGAATCATTTCAGCCTTCATTGTGCTAATCGCAATAGTAGCACTTGGCCGACTCCTCGAACCTTTGCAGAAAGTATGTATTTTAGAACTTGGATTGTCAGTGCATTTTATTGATATGAATTCTTTCTATTATGCGGTATATCCTTATGTAGCTGATAAACACAGGCTGTTCAATAAACACATTATTCCTAATAAATGTCTGTGGCTAAATTATGTATTATTTTATTTTTTTAGGTTAAAAATGTTGTGTGGTTTACCGAACTTTTAAGTTTTTTTTGTGTTTTTTTTAAAGACTAGACCTTCTTTTCAAGAATGTTAGATGGAATACATTTTGAAGATATATTTTGGCACTTCACACTAGTTCTTTGTGGTTAATATTACGGAATAGGCCATAAAGTACCATCTGTGAAATGAGTGCTTATTGAGCCTATTGATGTAAGTCATTAACCACTTTCCTGTGTTCTCATTTATTCATCTTAATGGTGGTGGAAATGGAAGAAAGATAGGTACAGGATAAACATTTCCTGGTTACTATCTTTCTTTTTACTCTAGAGAAGAAAATGTCTACCTTTCCGTATAACATGATAGCTATGTATTACTACAAAGTAGCACTTTGTAAGGAAATGATGCAAAACTGATACACTATATTATTCTATATGAAGATCATTAACATTGTATTATTTATGTTTTTTTCTTCGCAGTCAGTACTGGCTGCTATAGTTATTGCAAATCTTAAGGGAATGTTCTGGCAAGTGTTTGATGTACCGCGTTTATGGAAACAAAATAAATGGGACTCAGTAAGTACTCAAAGCTGCTATATCTCTGGATGGATTCACAAAAGTCCTTTATTGTAAATTGTGGACTTGTAAACTTATAATGTTTTAATTATATTTGTATATGTTATTTTAGGCCATTTGGGTGTTCTCCTGCATTGCTTCCATCATACTAGGGCTTGATCTGGGACTATTGGCTGGATTAATTTTTGGACTATTGACTCTTGTCCTTCGAGTTCAGTTGTAAGTACTACAAACCTCTGCTATAAAAATGTGTATGCATTATAGCAATAAAGCTTCTCTGCATTGGCTAAATTGGAAATCAAGTAAGAATAGGGAAACTATGAAAGATTTTGGCCATTTTTATTTTTTTGAGTTTTATATCATGTTTTATTATTTGTATACAGAATTATCAATACTGTATTAGACAAATTGGCTGCCTCTGTAGACTGATTAATTAAGGCCTTCCATCTGTTCTAAAAAAGAGGGAGTATGGTGGATCCCTTGTGTGAGTCAGCCTTGAAGGAAACCTGTGAGATAAATATGCAGACTGTGCTTGCTAACTTAATTGTGAAAATGCTAATTGTATGGCTGTTTCTGGTCATGCGCTTGTGCCGGGGGAGTGATGTAGAAAGTGCTTAAACCAGTAGATCAGCATGACAGCAAGGGTTTAGTATTTTTAACAGGGGAGATCTGCAATGACACGATACATGTTTCCAAATGAATGTTTATTTTCAAAAAAAGAATAGCTTGCACCTGATTGCTATGTGCTGGCTGCAAGTGATACCTATGAAATATTAAAGGCTAAGTTTACCTTTCTGACCATATTTAGCGTGTAACATGAAACATGGTCAGATTACAGACCCCCTCCCCGCCCCACCTGAATTGTGGGATTATTCTTCCCCCTTTAACAGGATCTGTGAATGGAGAAGCTACCAGTCCCATCAGCAACCACAGCAGAGCGACTTGTAGTTCGCTAAGGAATACAAGTGTGGTGACATCACAGCATTTGTATTCAATTGACACTTATGTTACTGCCACATATGTTACTGAATGTCCATACCGAGGTATGGATAGGAATGGAAGTTAGAGTCTACAGATCTACTGATCGCACTTGCAATGCTTTACTGGCTCCAATGCAAAAAATAATAAATGCAAATCTTGTTCTTTCATGTGCATTTTTTTTAAAGTGGCATTTCCCTTTAATATGAATTGCTACGAATTTAACTGCTGACAAGAGAAAAACACTAAACATTCTCTGTACATAATTCACTCTTTCATATTCAATACTAGAACAAGTGCAAGATTTTGATGCATGAGATTCCAAATGCAATTTAGGGGGATTCACTATCACTGTTCTACTCTTCTACTAGTGAAGTGTCATAGTGTTGACCAGCATTTCTCTACATCTTTCAGTCACGGCACCGTTAAAAAATGTGCAAAATCTCAAGGCCCCCCAGTGTGAAATTTAAAAAATGTATATGTAAAAATGTAAGAAATATAGTAGGTCGTTCCTCACAAAATCTATACCAGACAATATCCTAGATAGGGGACTGGTATGAATTTTAAGGGGGAACTCCATGCAAAAAATTATTTAGAGTTCCCCATTTACATCAGAGTCTCCCCCTTTCACAACAGAAGACCCCCTTTTCCCATCAGAAGCCCCCCTTCTTATCAGGAGCATCCCTTCACATCAGAAACCCCTTTTACATTAGAATCCTACCTTATAATCAACACCACAGTGGCATGGCACTCTAGTTGAGAAAGGCTGGTAGTGACTATAGCAATACATGCTGTACATACTTAGACACTGCTTTAGTGGAATCAGTATAACAGTGTACAGGTGTGTGACTGTGGGCCTAGCTTTCTATTTTAGGGTATTTTTTTTGTTTTTTTCTTATCTCTATAGGTTGAACTCGATGGACTTGAGTCTTTTTTCAACCTGACTAACTATATAACTATGTATGTTTTTCACAAGCGTCTTCACTGAAACATACTGATGCAGCTTTTAGCTGAAGTGTACTGCACTTTATACTCTGGATTCTATTTATAGGTATAGAATTTTCCAATACACCAATTAATATGTAAACATTTTTTTGCAGCCCATCTTGTGGTGGTCTTGGAAATATGCCTGGAACAGACCTGTATAAGGAGGTCAAAAAGTACAAGACTGTAAGCAGAAAACACTGAGACAGTTTTATTGCTGTTTTTGTTGTGGACATTGAAAATAATACATTGTCAGCTTGATAGATGAAATCGGCACTAGTATTTGCTGCATTACACATCGTATGTTTCCTTTGAATGGATGTAGCAAAGAATTATTGCACAGCATGGTTTTCATAAACATGCAGCAGCAGATGGTCTTCAGAAACCATCAAAACCATGTTTTGATACCTGATGTAAATGACAGCACATCTTCATTATAACCTTCACACAAATACCATGTGAAAGCACTGATCAGATCCTCAGACCTCACAGAGGTCCAATCGCACTTGTGTGGGTGGGTCCCAGGATCAAACCAGCACCACTGTCAATATACCTATGACAGGTAAAGATGCTCTGCTCCACTCCTTCAATTTTGCCTAGACCACATTTACCCATCATAGATAAGGTAGCCTTGGTTATACTTGATCCTCCTCTAGGGGTTGTCCACCACCACAACTGCACCTCTTGCTGGCAGAGTCATAGCAACTCTCCTCCGGTAAACAATGTGTATCACTAAGAGAAAAGATCTATTATAGCCATATTTTTCGACTGAGCGTATGCTATAGTTTTATGTAACTGACCCTCTCCAACCTCTGTGCCATCCGTATAATCTCATTAAAGTCTTGATAAAAACATGCAAAAACAAAAGCTCGATAGTGCAAGTATTGTGAAGCTAATATATTATAAATATACACAAAAATTAAATCCTGTAAAAAATATATAAAAAAAAGCACAAACTGTTCTAAAACTGGAGCATGCATGTAATAAGCATACAAATACAAAGAAGCAGGGTTAAACATCTGAGCTCCATTACCCGACATGTGTCATCCAAATGGATGTGATATTTGTGTGAAGGTTATAATCGAAATGGATGATTTGACAGAATAGAAGATTGTTATAACATGGTGTGATAGTTTATGAGCACTGTCATCTTATTAGAGGACTGTATAGTGGTTTCTTTATATTAGCAGCTGTTTGGGTAGATTAGTTAGCTTGGACAGAGAGATAAATATATAATAGCACAGCATGTTTTACTGAAAAAATAGAGTAAATGTACACTGTGCTGGAAATGTGGTGTTTTTATGCTACAGGAAATCTATGGAAATCTATCTAAATCTAGGAAACCTCAAAATATATATATTTTTAAATATTTATAAACCCAAGCACAAAAATATAATATACTGCAGCTTACTAGTTGTTAAGTGTGGTGGCTGCATTAGTTTCCTTAATTTCCTGCTGGTGATTTTGCTAATAACACACTTCCTGTCCTAAGGTAACTATGCTCACTTACTGTATGGTATCTATGGAGGAGTAGCGTTGTCACCTTGGGCTGCTCTTCTGCTTTGGACTACAAACTTCTCCTCCTTTCCTTATCTCCATTAAAGAGAGGGTTTTCTTTGTAGTTCACAGAAGATTTTTGAGAAAGCTGATAATATTTCCCTTTAGTTCACAGGAATTACAAGGACACACGATTTCTTACAGAATCAGCAGTTATTCTTTATAATTAAATGTAATGTACTTAGCTTGCAAAAAAACAAACAAAAAGCAAAAATAATTATTGTTTCTTGTTTGAAATGTACATTAAAGTGACATTAAAGGATACCCCCCCCCCCATGGGTGCACGCCGCTGCATTGACTTACCTTGTGTCTCTCCTCGTCTCCTGTCCAAAGATCTGTACTGCGCATGCGCCTGCCCCATGATCCTTTGCGGCCGCCCAAGATTTTTCAGATCTTCAGACGGGAGTGCGCGGCAGAGACACAGGTAAGTTTGAACCTTTTTAGTAACTTTTTTAAATGTTTTTGCATAAATCTACTGCTTGCTAGTAGTAGATATATGCAAAAAACCCTGAGGGTTTAAATATCCTTTAAGGGAGATTTTCATTATTGCCCTCTATCACACTAGAGATTGTAGGTTGTGTGCACAGCTGGGGTTCATCAAGTGTCACATTTTTTTGACCCCCAGATTTGTAGGCATGTTGTTCATTCTGTTAGGTTCTTTATGTGGACCGAGAATAGTAGCAAACAGAGAAAAAATACTTAGGAACCCAATAAATAATGCTTGGGAACCCAATATACTCCATATATTTCACCATAATTCACCACTCTATTTTCATTTCACTACAGGCCGTTGAACCAGAAGGGATTAAAATTGTTCGATTTGCTAGTGGTATCTTCTATGGGAATATTGACGGTTTCAAAAATGGCATCAAGAAAATTGTGAGTATATTTTTCTTTAAAATGCTTATGTGAATTTAATCAACATAAAATACTTGTAGAAATAAATCTGTAATCAACAAACATACTTTGTATGGTTTCATCAAAGGTTGGATTTGACTGTGTCAGAGTTTTTACCAAAAGGACCAAAGCTCTGCGGCAGATTAACCAACTTATCAAGAAAGGACAGCTAAGAGCAACAAAGGTAAATACAAATTAATTAATGTTCCTTTTATTAAAGAAGAACTCCAGGCAAATGTGTTCTTAACCCTTGCAGTGGGGCTACCCCCACACTGCATGGGTTAAGTGATCATTTTTGTCTAGGTTATACTCACCTAAACCGCCAAGATGGCTTTCTGCTTCTCCAGTCACTGAAGCCTGTCTCCTCCTACACTGCAGGATTGGAATATTTCTCAGTGTTTTCACTTCTATAGACTGATATAGATATAGAACGTGATGATTGATGAGACCTTAGACCTGTCCGGCGGAGGGGGAGCGTGGCTGCCAGGACCTGTCTAGGAGCAAGCCGGCTCCTATGATCGGGTGAGTATAATTTTGTTTTTAGCACCTAGACAAAAACAAACACTTAACCCTTGAAGTGCAGGGGTGGCCCCACTTCAAGGGTTAAGAAAAATTCTGGCCAGAGTTCTGCTTTAAACAAACACCTATTTACCATCACTGTGTGACAAACACCCTGTGGCTGTGCTAACTTCCTTCAGTATGAAAAATTTCAGAGTTTCCTAACATGATATCTGTAGCACAAGAGCCATAATTGTTGCATGCCTGTTTGTTCTTATATTGTTCTCAATGTTATATTCAACACTACATTTACAAGTATGATTTACTTATGGGACTTGTAGTATTTAAAATCATGTTTGTGTCAGTCAGTATTATATTATTTGGTATTACTACCAAATAATAGCTGGGAGCCTGGAAGGAAAGTAAAGGTGCCCACACACCTTACGATAATCGTACGATAATTGTGGGAAATCCCGCCATCGTGCGATTATCGCAAGGTGTGTGGGAGCCGTGCGAGCTCTGCTACTGTAAGGCTTTTGTCTTAGGAACATGTTCGAAAACCCGCCCAGAATCGTATGATTTTCGGCGGGTGTGTAGCATGTTGGTAAGATAAAAGCCGGACGGGCCAGTGTGCGCAAGCGCACACTGCCCGTTCAGCATTGCGGTCATCGGAAGCCCGCCCCTCAGCGGGGCGGGTTTCCAATCATCGCAAGTACAATCTGCCTGTCCAAGATAGGTAGATCGTGCGTTTTTTAAATTACCTTACAACCATCGCAAGTCTTGCGATGGTTGTAAGGTGTGTGCCCAGCATAAAGCAGAACCATTAACTAAAAATTAAGAACACTTGATACCCTTCTGCCCCTGAACTAATAGTAACAGCATGTGCTGAGAGACTATATGACTAAATGGCTGTTGAAATACATCTCCCTTGGTCATATCTTCTTTCTCAGTCTGCTTAATGGACATTAAAGAGAGCAGCAGAACATGTAGACATGTTTAAAGTGTTAGTCCGACCGCACTGAGCAAAGCAATAGAGTCATTGGCTCAGAATACTAATGATCCCTCTACTAATCTGCGTGCTATTACAGAAACATAAAACAGACATAAGAGACATGCTTGTTTATACTGTATTATCTTCATGCAATCCCCTGTCTGAATATTAGAAATCAGACTGAAAGTGGGAGGTTACACACTGCAACAGTGTAATAAGACAGTGTTGGTTTGCATATTGCTAACAATATACCTTATTTTCATACATTGAAGCTGGAAAGGCATGTGTTTAGGCTGGTAAGTCATCAAGACGAAGGGAACAAAGAGGACCTTGCAGTGTATTTATGTTCATGAATAGCCTGACGTTCAGGAAAATGCCATATTAAACTGTAGTGATTCAGTATTGAACATGTGTGTCCAGAGGCGTAACTAGAACCTTCAGGGCCCCGGTGCAAGAAACCATGAAGGCCCCCCCCAACCGCCATGGCACCGCATAGTTAACAGGAAGGCTGCCGAGGTCCCCAGCAAGCGCGGGACCTCAAGCAGCCGGGATTAACGAGGAAACTGGCATTTATTTACAAAGTATTCATTTGTAATTGTTAATTGTGACCGTAAATAATATACCATCCATGGCAGGGAATAATGGATCGAATAATATTAACGGTCACAATTAACAATTTAAACAAAATACTTTGTCAATAAATACCTGTTTCCTCGATAATACTGGTCTGTGCACAAGCGCAGATGCTGAGGTCGGCAAATTCGAAGACGTCGGCGTTCTCGACAGAACACCGGTATCTGCGTTTAGTATCGGGGCATTTTCACGAGTATGAGTGCTCGTGAAAATGCCCAGAAATAACACTGGGGTTTCCCTACTTAAAAATATAATGCATTGCTGGGACTTGTAGTCCTACATAGTTGGAGCTATTCTGCATTGCTGTATAATCATCATACAGAAATGCGCAATACCACCAGCTATGCGGGACTACAAGTCCCAGCAATACATTATAATAAAAGTGAGCACTATATCACCAGCATCCCCCCCCACACACACACACACACTGATGTGTGAAGATTTATGCCTAGTGAGAGCAGGGCAGCAAATATCTGCGGAGCTAGCTTGCTGGGAGATGAAGAACGATCTCCCTTTGACCCCCGTGTGTGTGACCCGTCCCTCGCCTCCTTACCTTCTTCTCCGTATCATGGCTCTCAGCAGCAGGGGAGGTGGGGGGAC